TGAAAAGGATGATAATAGCGCCACTCTTCATTCGGGGAAAGACTAACTTCAGAGAGATTAGCTGTGTTTTTGCACGATACTACATTCTCAATTTTCTTAATTCTGCGACACCTTCCATTCGAACGATACACCTGTAATGTTACCTCAGATGAAAAGCTTCCAGATTTTGGTCGTAAGAATGTCAGGGATTGCAGTCATTTCTATCAGCATTATTTCCCATAAGCAACCATTGTGATGGTTTCAATGTATTATGCTGCCCGAAATTATTACAAACAGTTCAGGAACGGTTTCGCGGGAAAAAACCACCAATAATGAAGTTGTAGATGAAAACCAGACGATTAATGTATGAAAAACTGGAAAAAAACGTCGGGGAGGGTCTTAGACAGGTACTCTCCCTCTGCCGCTCAGCAATGGATAAAGACGCACGTTGGACGAGTTGTCTGAACGTGCCCGCTGTAAACGCGCTCCATTTTTCAATCAATTTTCCCTGTGGTCCCAAAACGAGCACGATTGCCGACGCGTCCAATGACGGCCGGCAAGGGGGCGGGATTGGGGAAATCCCCAAGAACACCCATGTTTGAGGGACTTTCCACCCTGTTTTTGAGTTTCTGAGGTAAGTTCGTTTATTATTTCCACTGCATATGTTCTTCACTAGGGCTCGTGTATCCCTCAGTAGTAGTGGCATTGAAATTTTCGGACCCTCCCTGAACTGTTGCTTTAATCAGCAGTTCAGAGGCTGAATTAATAATTACTTCATATGCACATCACACTCAATTGAAAGGTCGAGTATAAATACAAGGAAATATTAAACGATCATTTCCAATTGTTTTGCATAGAAGATCGTTTGCTTGGCAATGCGAGCCGTATCCAGCGTTGGCTTGTCCGTATGACCCGTCTCCGTTTCAAATACGAAACAACCATGTTCGCTCTTCCACTTCCGCTAGAAAAAAAAGTATTTTAGAGTGGTCGGAAGAAACATACACACTCTCCCTGTCTCGGAGGCTTTGCAGGCGGAGTTAACAATGAAAAGGCAGCTCATTAGAAAGAAAGGTGGAGGTAATCAGCGGTGGAGGGATGAAGCAAAGACGGGAGACGGACTTTAGTCGAGAATGATTTCTTGATCCACCTCGCGCCATCTACCTCATGCCTCTAGGCTATGGGATAACCTCAGTTGATTGACTGTGCTGACTGCTGGCATGCACAGACATTCTAACATTAAGCTCAGGGACGGTAGACTTCAAAATCGTTATCTCGACATGAAACAAAACATTCACCAGTTTTTATTAGGTGATTCACTCAGGTGATTCACTCAACTTCGGCTATTTTTCTTGATCAATAATGGTTTTTGAAGGAATTAACAGGTTACTGGAAGCAGTAATATCTCCACTACCTTCTTCTGCATTTTCCTCATCTTTTTTTTAACAAACCCCGTCCGATGGTACGACTTCAGCTTTCAAAATGACCTGATAGCTTGGTTGCGCTGCATCAATGAGATGGAGTGGATAATCAGAACGTAATGTCCGTTGAATGGGTAGAATGCTTTCTCATCCGAGCAAACAATTCCCTGAGAATTTTTCAAGATTTGGCTTTGACCCAGCAGATGCTTAACTTCGGGAACCTACTATTCGTGCGGCAGCCATTTTTCTTCACTGTCAGATCTATCCTTGCAAGCAAACATTCAGAACAGCACTTTATAAAAATTCTTATTCATCTGTAAGCTGCAAAAGCGTCATAATGCTTGGGAATGAAATTTTTCGGCAGGCCGAGACATTTTTTGCCAGGATATCAAAACATTACTTCTGCAATGTTTGATAAATCTCATAGTTGACTTTTTCGAATTAAACCTGCAGCAGAAAAGAATGGTTAAATGTCACAACTGCCGCTTAACGCAGCAGAAAGAATGTTAAAATGGTACCCCTGCCCGCTTCCTTTGCTACGCATTTCAACAATAGATTGACCAGAGCAAGAGCCGGTTAGCTGTTGTAGAGCAATGTCGAGATTAGAGCAACAGTCCCAGCAGGGTTTTTACGTTCGACACTAATGGTGTGGAACGATGCGCTAGCCCTAGTCAAGAACGTAAGAAGTGTGATGTACAAAAAACTCCTTGGAAAGCTGCTAGAAAGAGAGCTAACGGCTCCGAAGGCGGGCGTGGTTGGAAATCGGCTGCAATCGCCTCGGCTGATTTCCAATCCACACCCACTTCGGAGCCGTTCAGCTGAGTTTTTTTTGTACAGTCACACTTCTTACGTTCTTGACTAGGGCTAGCGCATTGTTCCACACTATTAGTGTCGAAGGTAAAACATTGTTGGGACTGTTGCTTTTTTACTATCACTGAATGTCGCTGACCAGAATTAAGTGGCCCACCTAAAAGATGAGGATTGATCATACTCTTCACGAAATCGACAATGCAAGTGAAAAAAATGCAAAAATCAAATTAATACTGAAACACAACTGAAACGCGGGCCAGAAATGGTTCAATATGAGAAAAAGGTTCAAATATTCGATTTGAATCAATGAGGCAATAAAAAAAATGATCGCTTGTGAAATTTTTGATTCATTCCAAAAGTTGTATTGAGTTTCAACAAAATTCATGAAGTCACAAATACAAATGTGCTGTTTTCTACGACATACTAAGAACACGAAATGAATTTGATCAAATTTTATAGCGGAAGATATTTGAATTCGAGATGCTTCGCTGAAAAATTTCCTATCCCTTACTTTGTGACAATTTAATTAAATTTAGTTTATATGGCTTTTGACTTTCACCTACTCGCGTTTGCATTTTCAGATTTTGTTTCGCTCAATTGCTTTGTTTTTACTCCGCATTTAGGTGATGAAGTTCATAAATCAAATAATCGATACTGAGTCTGAAAGGAAGAAGGTCAGCAGGCAGTTTTTTCCAGCACAAAGTAACATAATTAGGGTCTATTGATCCGCTGGAAGCAGCAATCTGATCCGCTGGAAGCCAAGCAATCATTTTCACTGATTTTACGGTTTGTCATGCTTTCAAATGTTTACTGCATAATTATTAAACGAAACTGACCTGCTTGGCGAATTCGTTGACCTGAGCGTCACTAGTAAACAGCAACATATTGGCCGCATCACGTGTACTTAACAATTTGAACGATTTCTCGATGGAAAGAGCAATATCGCTTCTGAAAAAGGTCCCAGCGGCTCGCTATAATACGTAATTTTGCAGAGATACGCTTTCAATGAATGCAGAATGGGAAGAAAAAGAAACAAAGCAAAGTTGTTGTACTCTAAAAACGACTACGAAAACATGTTTACATGTTCTGGCAACAATTTGATTCAAAAGAAAGAAATTTCGACATACCTGACCGCATCCATCATAATTCGAATGAAAATGCTGTAAAATTGACTAGGAATTGTTTTCTCCGTGAGAACCACCTAAACATATGTGGATTGTACGCTATTTCTGTTGACCTAAAATGGCCACTTTGCTCACCTTGTTGTATGCTCCTTCCATCAACGATTGCTCGAGTCGAACAGGAGTTGAGATGTAAGGGTTGCCTGATTGGATGCTTTGAGGAACAGATTCCAATAGCTGAAATATAAAGGAAGTATAGTATTGTTCCATAATTCAGAAACATTACACATACGTATTCATATAAAATGATAAAATGTATTTAAATCAAGAAAATGCACACGAAAAAAAGAAACCCGCACTATGCGTCTCCCACAGCGTGAGACAAACATGAGTAAGCACTAACCATGTGGAAATCAGAAAGTCGATTGCTAGCTAGAAGAAACATCAGGTTCAGCCCAACCATGAGATACTTATTTTCGGCTGCAGTGGGACATTGGTCGTAAAATGACAGAACCTAAATAGTCATGTTTCGAAAACTTCTAGCTGATAACATTAAGGAAAGAAAGTTAATAAAAAAGCTCATACGATTATTCTTGACATTAAAAATGCTTCAGGGAGGAAAATGCCAACTTGGCAAGGAAACCTCACTTGGGGAGAAGAACAAAAGAGAACTTAGAAAAAGGAATACCCTTGGGATTGCGTCATCGAAAGCTTCCATGTCGTTTCTTAAAACGGCAACCAGAGCGCTGATTTCATAGTAATCTCTGAAAAATCAATGAACAACTGCTACACCAAATCTTTGTAATTCTGAAAACAAGAGCCTCTGTAAAAGTAAACCATGGATCAACTCAACAGTTTTCATGAGCAATTTTAGTATAGTAAGATGAAAACAAAAGATTAAAAGAACAAACTTGTAAATGGTTGTAAGCGCTTTCGCATCGAGAGAACCAGTAGCTGCTTGGTCAAATAACGCTTCCTAAATTCAAAACTATAGCTATTTCGACACAATAACTCCAAAGAAAAGTAAACAACAAATTGTATCTGAAAATTTTTAGGAACATTTTAATAGAAATAGAGCACCTAGGTTTCATTCACTTGGATACCATGGTCTACACTGTTTGTATAGAATGCAACAATTGAATGATA